ATCACCACGGCTATCCGCTGCAAGCGAGACATGCTGGTGAAAAACCACCGATAGCACGGCAACAACCTCGTCCAGCCCAGCAACCCCAGGACCAGAATCAACTTACTCATCAAGCTGAACAACATCCACAGCATCAGCCCCAGTTCGGGAATCTCCAAGGTCAACCTCAATTCCAAACACACCACCACCCCCGCAATCTTCAGCCAGCGCACGTTACACCTGTGCTCGCAGCCAACCCATTTGGGAAAAACTCGGTTCCCGGTCCATCTCTGCGCGGGAACCAGCTGCCAAATAAGTCCCCTGTCGTGGGTGGCTGTGCGCCAGGAAAAATCCATCCATGCAAACCAGTAGTGCAAGCCGAGCCCTTTGTTCCGCTCAACCCTCCCGCACATATGCAAGCAGGACCGTTCGTTGGCCGGCACGTTATCTCCAACAACCACCAACACCTCAACGTCAACAATAACCATAACAATAAGAATAATATCCATAATATTCGTCATAATAAACCAACTTTCCGCTATCCGGTTGATATACCTGATGCCACCCCACGTCGGTTCCCGCGCAATTGACTTTTCGTTCTCTCGCTCGCTCTTTCCTGGCTTATGGTAGGCTGGAGGTTGGATACCACCATTTCTTTTCTTTTCTTTCTTTCTTAACATACGTTCTTCTTCTACCACAGCCCAGAACTATCCTGCTTCATCTTGCATTCTAATCTAACTCAGATATTCTCCATATCTTTAATGAACTTTTTTTTGTTTATTTTCCCCTTTTTTTTGGGCATCATGCATCAGCACATCTTGAGCCATCAGGCGATTCGTTATGTTTTTAATATAGAGACACGATTTTTGGTCTTTGGTCTTTCCCCCTTCTTCTCTTTTTGTGTCCCCTTCACTTGTTAGAGTCGATCTAATATTTCTGGGATGAGATTTATCCCTCCTACCCCTTCTTCTTTTTGTCATTGGAGCGTAAATATGTAATTTACCTGGCGGCATCAGTTTTGGGATTTTGATGGTTTTGCACTTATTGAAAATGGCGGAATCAGTTATCCATTGTATTTTTTTCCCACTTGTATTTTCTTCTCTCCCCATCCTCTTCCTTTTTTTCCCTCCCTCCCTTCAATTCACCTTCAATTTCTGTTCTTAGGGTTCTATTTCCGTTGGAATGCGACGCCCTAAACCTCAACGTCAACATGAGATTGCCCCATATAGGGGTAGTCGCATAATTGTATATATTTGCAGCATTCAATTTCAGTAAATTGAGTGATGCTTGTACTAAAGACTTGACAAGTACAGGCGTTCACTTTCAATTGAGATTCATATAATGAC